TCACATAGAAATCAAGTATAAAAATCAAACGAATATTCATATTTGACCTGATTGTTTATAGTTCATAATGCATGATCAAAACTGAAAGTTTTTGTGATGACTGCCCTTGTACTGTTCACCATGTAAGAACTTATTCACTATGTAAGAATTTGTTCACCATGTAAAAACTTGTTCGTTATGCTTCAGATTGGAGACTGACAAGAATTAGGCTGGGGGTGGATTAATGATTGTACATTGAGCATTGACTCCCCTATACAGAATTTTATTGTTAACAACCATTTGATCAATAAATATGAGAGATGCCTCTCAAAATAAATAAATAAATAAATAAATAAAATAAAATACAAAAAAAATGTGCTAAGTCTAGTCTGTTTTGAAATGAAATTTTTGTTATTATCATAAACCTGCTCTACATTTAAGAATATGCTTTTCTCTTTGATCTTAAACAAAAAGTTACATGGCAATTTCCAATATTGAATTTCTAGCTAATAAAAGATTAAAATCCTTTTTCCTATTAAGAATCCACTCCATTTATCATCAATAGTATTAGGCCAAAATCCTAACTCTATTATCTAAAATATAAAATAGTAAGTGAATAAAATGTCCTAAATGAGCATTTTATTGGAGGAGATTCTCACAAAGAGAAACTTCTAATTCTTTATTTAAAAAACCAACATGGCTAGGATTTAAAATAGATATGTCTCCTATGAAACCAAGCTCTACAAAAACTTCCATTGAACCATGTGGTGGTTTTAAAAGTGGTCCAAAGATCCTTTGATACTTCTTTCTTTATGATGGGGAAATGATATCCCTCATCCGTTGAATGTGGGCCAGACTTAAGGACCTCTTTTGACAGACTGAGGCAGACGTGATGGTGTGACTCATTGTCCAAGCAGATCTCAAGCCTTCAGAGACTGCAGCCCTCTTGAGAGCCCCCAAGCCAGAAGTGCCCAGTGAAGCAGGATCTCCGATAAACTTTTCGACTTATGAGCCAGATAAAATGGGGCCTAATTAATATTTGAGGTTTCAAGCTGTTTAGCTTAGGGGCAATTTCTTACACTGTAGTACGTAACTGACAGATTTGGGTACCTAGAAGTAGGTATGGCTGTAACAAAAACCTGCAATGTGGGAGTGGCTGCAGAACCCAAGCAATGAGCAGAAGTTCAAAGGTCACTGAGGAGGATGCTAACAAAAGCCTGATATAGCATGGGCAGTGAGGAGGCTACACGCAAGGGCCTGCAGAGATG